ATTCAAGGCACACTGCAAGAATAGCCGTAGGGCTTTCCTGATGATCTAAGAGGGTGAATCGTCCGGATGCGTCCCCCGAACTCAACATGGCAAGGTAGGTGCTCAAACCCTTATTTGTCGAATAAAATCTCTTTGTTTGTTGGTTCCTATCTGCACCACATGCACACACACGTGGGCTCCGCAGTTGTTTGAGAGAAAATTCCTTCGACCTGGTCACTCATATCTGGGCTGACCCGAGATGACGAGAAATCAGGCCCAATCAGGAGGTTGTGCAATTAGTTAGTTATCAAGGTTGCAGTCTGTGATGGCATTGTCTTCTAAAGAGGCTAAGTATATGTCACTTACTCATGCATCTAAAGAAGTAATTTAGCTAAACAACTTACTTAAGAAGCAATTTGACTAAACAGGTTACTTGGTGAATTTCAAGTTGTGCAAGATGGTATTCCTCTTCATTTTGATAACCAGCGTACCTTGTTTCCAGCAAGGAGTCCAGCCTTCCATGACAAGACGAAACATATTGATGAGTAGTATCACTTTATTTGTGATGTGGTAGAAGATGAAAAAATTTTATTGCAGAAAATTCATATTGATGGCAATCCAGCAGATATATTGATTAAGTCCATAGGGAAAGGGAAGTTCACTTGGTGCAGGACTTCCTTGGAGCTTGTGGTTACTTAATGATTAGTAATTGGTGGGCAGCAATTTCTTGAAGCAGACTAGTCAGAATGAAAATATGCCTTCATGAAGACCATGTTTTAGTTGAGGATTTACATATATTGTGTTAATAATAGATATCTCATTAGATAAGGTTTTCTATTTTGGTGGGTTAGTTATCAACCCTTTGTGTTGCAAAGATATTTTGATTTTTTTTATTTTTTTTTGGGGGTGAATCATTGGGGATATCGACTCCCTACCCATTTTATTAAAAAAACACAATCAATATTACATGAACAGTTCTTAAACAACCCTTGGCAAAAGAACACTTGCAACAACATCAAATAGAATGACAGGCATTACAAAATCAGGGCGACGAGCACGTGATTCCTTTTAAGGAACTGATATCTTTGCTAAACCTTAAAAGTAGGAAAGTGAGATATATTGGAAAGAGGGGTACGTGATAACCATGGGGGGAAGGAAACCTTTCCTAACTCCTAAAAGATAGGGAGAGAGAGAGATGGGCACGTGATTACCTCACACCTTCATGAAGATCCTATTTTATAGGAAAGAAATCCTAGTTAAACTAGGAATAGGAAAAAAGCCACACATGGGTCTCTTGGAACTCTCCTCTATGAAGAGAGCTTTTGTAGAGAGAGATTATTTTGCAAGGAAAAATCTAGAGAGAAGGGGGTTAATTCTTTAGTCCTTAGGTATTCTAGTGAGAGAAAGACCATGTTTTAGGGTTTGAGAGAGAGAGCTTGTAATACCTTGTATTTGTCATGCTTACATGGTGTTTTTCTGATTGGTGAATAGAACTTTGCTGCCCTGTGGAGGTAGGCAACTTGCCGAACCACATAAATTTTTGTATTTCTATTCTTTATTTTTCTACACTATTTTTTTTTCCCTTATTTTTTTGTCAAACCTTTGTTTTTATCCTCTACACCTCGTAAGTGAGATATGCTATCTAGCTCCAATCCCATTCTCCTAATTAGAAGATCCTCATCTATAGGAAGCCTTCTTAATATCCAATTTATGGATATACTACAGTTTTCCTTTTTATCATCATTCTCCCTAGATGCATTCTAGTAGTAGCACTATCACGACCCCGTTCCCTACCATCCCCGCCAGACCCACAAAAGGCTACATACCTTCTCTCTCCTCATGCATGTGCCACATGGTACTCAAGTGATCATGCATGAGGAGACAGAAGGCATGCTTGAGGAACACAATGAGAGAGAAAGAGCATGAGAGGGGAGATATAACCTAAGCCCACCAAACGCCACCCGCGCCCAGCCGCGCACTTATCCATCTGCGCTTCACGCGCACTCGTCTACCAGCGCCCAGTTGCGCACTCATCCACCTGCGCTCTAGCGCGCGCTCATCTACCCGTGCTCCATGCGCACTAATCCACCCGCTCTTCGGATAAGACCACTGATCTAGCTTAGTGAACCAACCAATAAAAAATTAAAGAAGTATGGGACAAAGAAAATTGAACAAGATGCTAAAAAATAAAGTGCATTCTTGATATTTAGGAAGAATCGAACAGAGCCCAATGATTCGCAATATGAACCGGCCAGTTTCGGCATCGCCAAATTTTAAAACCTTGACCAACACTAAAAAAGATAAAACTTAAGTCTCCCTCCCAAAGTTTTTTAGTGTTTGCCTAAGCCGCTCAACGACGGAAAGCTTTCTATACTGGCCTTACTATATAAAAGTTATATATTTCCCTCTATCCAGTTGTCTCATCTGAATGGATGGATGAGATGGACCCAATCACAATGTCATCCCTGCACTTTATTTTAAATTTGTTTCTACAAAACAATTTTACACAAAAATCTGGTCATCTAATCCTCTATTAAACTTTTATCGGAAAAATATAAAAAATTTATTTTTGATAAAAAAATTATTTTTGTTAAAATAAAATAACCAAATTATTTTTTTCAAGGGTATTTTGGTTATTTTATTTTATTGAAAATATTCTTTTGATATTTTTAAGGTGCTCCATTGAGATGATGGCATATACCAATTTTCATATTCATATTATTTATAAAAAAAGTAAAAAACAAAATAATCTAAGATGTCAAATCTAGTTCAAATGATCAATGGCTCACTTGATCTAAATTATTGGATGGCTGGATGGGGAGATTATTGGATGGCTGGATGGGGAGAGTATATAACTGTTGTGCAATAGAGGAAGTATAGAGAACTTCCCACTCAACAAACTGGCATCCTTAAGATCTTCAATGACATCGTACGTATGGTAGCCCTGAAATCATAGCTAAACAGCTCCAGAACTTTCTTCCTTCAAAAATTCAAGAACCAATCTCCACTAGCAACAAATGTTATGTGGAAAATACTTGCGTTACCGGCTTTGTTGGTTTTTTTATTATTATTTTCATTTTTATTTTTAACCTAAACTAATTACGAAAAAAAATGATGGAGAAACAAAAGGCATCACATATCGCAGAGCATAAATGTTACAAGACCAAAGCATCAAATAATCAACTAAACAAATAAGCATGATTCCAATCCTTTCCAACTGTTACAGCTGTATGGGACAGTTATGCACGTGTGTCGTATGCAAAACCCAAGGTTTGTGACGTCTTACCTATCCTGAAAGAGCCCTTGAGCTTGACGCATATTACTCTTTTACCCCTAAAAGATTCAGGCCAACCCTATAGTGAAGATCAATGGTTTAAAAAACGGATCGGTGACCCGGATCGGGCTTCCAAAAAATCGATCCGGATCGGCGAATCGGCGATCCGGATCGAGAATCGGGTGAATCGGTCAGAGTAAAGCTTAAAAAAAATTCGAAAAAATTATTAAAATTCATTATAAATATTGTTTTTTAGGAATTCAATAAAAAATGAGGGTACTCCATTAAGAATTTTCATGTTTTTGAATGAATATACGAATATTGATATGTTTTTTCCCTGCATGAACCGCCATTCAGCATTTAATTTACAGTATTTCGTGCTCATCCCTACACTGTTGCTGTTGGGACTCGATATGTGAATAATATGGCTGGGATAGGGTGGCCTCAGAATCATCATCTCTCTCATTTTCTCTTTGAATAATATGGAATTAAAAAAAAAAATACAAATTTTCAAAAAAATCGATCATGGATTAAAAAAAAATCACAAATTTCAAAAATTCTATCATGGATTACAAAAAAATTTGATCATGGATTAAAAAAAAATCACAAATTTCAAAAATTCAATCATGGATTACATAAAATTCGATCATGGATTACATAAAATTCGATCATGGATTCAAAAAAAACAAAAATTCAATCGTGGATTCAAAAA